CCTGCTGAGTGCAGAGCCCAAAGCGGGGTTCTATCCCAGGATCCCGAGATTATGACTTGAGCCAAAACCAAGAGTCGGATGCTCAACTGACTGAGCCACCCAGGCACCCCTGTACTATTATTTCTAATAGAAGCCCGGAAGGATCCTTCTTGTCCAGTTACCTAGCCAATGCTCAGTCCACCTCAACAAAGTTCTGTGTGACAAAGAGCTCGTTAATTCCCAAGGCAGTTCATTCCCAGGATTTTTATAAGATGGAAAATATGAGCTAAAACATACTTATCAGAAACTTCACAGAGGAAGAAATAATATAGGAGACAGAGGTCTGTGTTCCATGAGATTGCAAAGCAGTTAAGATGTGAAACAGCCATCAGAGAGCCTTGGAGCAGAATGAGAAGGGGCAGATGTGGGGAAGAAAGGGGTCTGTTGGGTAAGCCTTTGTTCAAGCCTGAATTTCTCCAATCTGGGCCCAGCTGCTGCCTGGATTAAGCCTCTGCTAAACTGGCCTGGAGTGGACCTGGGGTCATTGGAGCTCTTTGGACTGGGGAGACCGCAAATATACATTCTTTTCTAATCTCACTTTGCCTCTCTCTGCCAGTCCCACTAAACCTATTTACTTTACCTCATTGTCAGGGGTCAGGCTTAGTGGGCGTAAAGGACCTCTACACAAAACATGTCTTTCCAGTTGCTTCTCAATGCCTGGAACATACTAAAACATGAGGAAGTGCCTTTAATTCCACATGAAGAGATTATAGGCTTAAAATACAATGACCACTGTGATAACTAAAGTCTGTGAGTCTCAGCACCTGAGCGCTAAGAGGGAGGGAGAGCAAGATGTGGAAAGGGCGCATTGGGATGGCAGAAGACAAATCTCCCTGTTTACAAGTGCGCTGTGGAAGGGACCATGGACATTGCATAGACCATCTGCCCTGGCTCTGCAAACACAGGCAGCTCTGCATCATGTGATTCAGGAAGCTGTTATCAGATGTGGCCGATTTCACATAAAGGAGTTTTGTCCTGGGGCAGAGTGGGGGTGTGGGGGGTTGCTAGTGGATTGCACATTAGGACAGCAAAAGTTGGCTCTCACGTTACCTAGGTGTGTGTGGTGCTAGCCGGTTCACTGTGGTAGCACCAACACCATAGAGGGATGACCTCAGGATTATTTGATTTGGGTAGAGTCCACTGTTCTAGGCAAGCCACTTCACTTCTCTGTGGATAAAGTGATTGAATTAGAAGGATGCTTCCCTATTCCAGATTGCATGGCTGTCTATTGAACCACCTGCATTCATCTCAAATGCAGCTTTCTTTACAAACACGTAGATGAGCCCAGAAACAATAATGACCAATCTGTTTGATGTGCATTGAAATTAGGTCAAAATAGCAGCCCGTTAAGGACTTATAACATTATGTCAAAACTAAGGGCTGAATGTTTTAATCAAGAAAGAGAAAGGGTGTCTTCATTCATTGTGCTCTTTCCTTCTCAGAG